CTGAATGCCATGTAATTCACCGCTGTACACCGCATTTCCCCCACAAACAAACAGCTTGACAGAGCATTTCAACTGCACTCTTCGCGACATGCTTTCTATGTATGTCGCCTCCGACCACACCAACTGGGATCTTATCCTTCCCTACGTAACGTAAGCTTACAACATGGCACCTCAAGCGACGACAGGCTTTTCTCCCTTCTTTTTACTATATGGTCGAGAGCCATCTCCAATCGACACCATTCTCCCCTACCGACCCGATTCATCCGAAGGCACACCAGTTTCCGAAGCCGCTCGATATGCGGAAGAATGTCGGCAATTAGCTCGCACCCTTACAACACAAGAACAAGGGCTACAGAAATTTCGTCACGACAATGGACAGTCCCACTACCAGTTTTCACCCAACTCTCTTGTTTGGCTATGGGTGCCTCCCACTGCTGCTCCTGGTACCTCTACAAAGTTCGTCAGCAGGTACCATGGGCCTCATCACATCATAGAGCAAACTTCCGCTGTCAACTACCTCATCGAACCCCTCACGCCCACTCCGGACCTGCGTCGCCGAGGCCGCGAAATCGTACACGTGGATCGTCTCAAACCGTATCACGAACCACTTGTCCTCACGGCACCTTAGAACACCTACTTGGCTCCGTCTTCAGTGAGGGGGAAATATGTAATGATGAATGTAGTGGGTCATGCATAGCTCGGCAAACACATCGTCAGTGCTAAGCACGAGATGCTCGGCCCGGACGTTGTCGCTGTTTTCGCTGGCTAGGCCTACGCTCCTACCTGGTCTCAAATAACAGTTCTGACTGTCTCAGTTGTTTATTATACATAAAATGTGTTCAGTCGAGATGAGTGGCTCATGGTTCTGATAACGATTACATAGATGATACAGCACGCATGTCTCTTAATGCCCTTGTCTCCAAGGGCAGCGAGACAAGTGCTTTGTAATATATCTTCTGCAGCAGCGACCTCTCTTCAGAGGTCATGCTACAGATTACCAGGGTAGATGGCATTAAAACTACCAACATATTTTAAAAATGCGCAAATACTAATGACTGAAAAGCGGATCCCTACTGAAGAACATTGAAGGATGAAGTGGTATTTGCTTTCAATAGGGTGATGGGAAGTGCTTTTTCCTAAAAGTGTGCAATTCGTTGCATTGGATTAAAATGTTGAGAACGGTGAGGGGTTCACCACATCTGTCTCACAAGGGTGGATTGCCACTGGACAGAAGATATGAATGCGTGCTGTGTGTGTGTCCTAGTTTCAGCCTTGTAAGTGTCACCGTCTGCGCTGCTATAACTTCGGCACTGGCGGCCAATAGCTAAGCTGTGGCTGGACAACGTGTAGTTTATGTTGCGTGTGGCTATCCCATGTGCTTTCCCAATAAGCTCTGAGCTGTAGTTTGAGGGAAAGTTTGAGGTCAAGCACAGGGATGGCTATGGATGTATTGGCAGTGTTTACGTGGATGGATCCAGCTAGCTGATCTGCCATCACATTACCTTGGATCTCGCGGTGCCCTGGCACCCAACACACTATGATGCGTTGTTTGTGGTTGTACACTAAGCATAACAATGAACAGAGTGAGACAACTACAGGATTTCTGTGCTTTTTCAAAGTTTTCAGAGCTTTTACCACACTCAAGGAATCGGTATAAATTACTGCCTGTTGTATCTTTAATTGTTTAATGTGTTTAACAGCCACAAGTATAGCATACGCTTCTGCTATGGATATGCTCATATTAGGGTGCAGAGCGCTGGCATCAAAAAAGGACAGACCCCCCGCTGCGTATGACACAGGGGAGTGTGACTTCAAAGGCATCTGTAAAGAATTCCGGACAATTATATTTGTGCTGAAATTCTAGAAAGTATGTGTGGATTTGTGCAATAGGCGCATGTTTCGTGACTTCCGCAAAGGAAACATCACACTCTATGAGCCGTCACTGCCCCGGCGGGAGATGTGCAGCGGCACACATCAAATAGTGTTCAAGCAGTGGAACATCGGTTTCCTCAGCTATGTCCCTCACATGAAGCGAGTAGGGCTTTCTCAACAAAGGAGGGTTTTCAAATTGGACAGAGCTGGACAAATCAGTGATAGTGGAGGGGTGTTCCTTGTCTACGATCGTTTTCATGTAATGTACAGTGATGGAAGTGACTTTTTACTTTTTGGAGCACACTTTGGAGCAGGTAAAGTTCTAGGTTAGAGCAGCCATAAGAGTATTCGGAGCATAAAAAACGCTAGTTTAGAGCAGCTACTAGGGTTTTAGAAGCAGATAATAAATTTGCCATGCATTAATTGGAGTTCAGAGCATTGTCAAAGCATCTCGCAAATACTTTTCATCATGAAATGTATTTACCAGACAATAATCAAAGTACATTTCATGATGCAAACAATGGCAGGTTGTCAAAGTTGTGCTGTGAAATGAGCTATAATTTGAAATACTAATATTTGGGGTAGAAATCAATTTAAACTGGAAAAGCTAAGCCCCACATTTTAAAAGTAACTGCAGTCCATTATAAGTGTTGCCAAATAAGCAGTAGATAATAGGTATGAGATAAAAGCAATCTGGTTCATTTCCACATTTCACCACAGTAGCCTACATTGTCCAGCTGAGGAAAAAAACGGCCAAATGACCTATATGGTCAATATGACAGTTCTGTAGCACAAATGGGATCAGAGCCGATAATTCTGCACACTAGAAGCACAGTGGGATAAAAGTACACCATTTCTTTTTTAAGTTTCTTAAGGACTTGTGAGTTGATCAAAGAGCAAACGTTTGTCACTCTCATTCTCTCAGTGTCATTTCGGAGCAGCTTTGGAGCAATTACTAACAAAAATTACTGTTTGGAGCAGCATGGAGCAACATTCTACTTTTGCAGCAGTTGAAGTAGCACTTCCATCTCTGAATATATAAAAGACATGTAAAATCTCTGCAGATGGAGAGACCACTCATTTGATTCAACGTAGAGGCTCTCCAGAAGGCTAGTGCAAAAAGCACCCATAGAGAGACGAATGCCCAAATGGTGGATAGAATCAAGCATTTGCAAAATGCTTCGTGTTGCAGACTGATAGACAATCGCGCCATAGTCTAGACGTGTTTGTATGAGGCTTTTGTAAAGATTCAGCAAACATTTTCTGCCACTTCCCCATGTAGTGCGAGAGCACACTTTCAGAATATTCATGGTTTTTAAACACTTGTTTTTGAGGTTTTTGATGTGGGGTACAAACATTAATCTTGTGTCTAAAATTATACCAAAAAATTTGGGTTCAGATTTCACTGGTAGTCGCTGCCCATGCAAGTCAATGTGCGGATCTGGATGGAGACTTCTCTTTCCTGAGAATAAAATGCAGGTGCTCTTTTATGGGTTAAGGGTGAGTCCGTTCTCGTCAGCCAACATTGTTGCCCTATTCAAGCCAAGTTGAATCTGCTGCACGCATATTGCAAGGTTGCAGGATTTAAAACCTATCTGCACGTCGTCAACATATGTGCAATAAAACATATTGCGTGGAATATCGGAATGCGGCACAAGACATTCCCCACACGTACACGAAAAGTGCGATTTGACAACTTTTTATTATGGTCAGCATACTGTCTCGAACACCAAAAAGTGTGAGAGGTCCCACAGTATGCCAAAACACCATGTCGTGTCATATGCCTTTTCTATATCTAGGAATACTGAAATAACTGTTTATGAACGAAAGCGTCGTATGATTTGTGCCTCAATGCATATCAGGTGGTCAGTGGTGGATCTACCCTCACGAAATCTGCACAGGTATAGGTCCAACAGACTATTTGTTTCCAGGAAATGTAAAAGCCGGCGGTTAATCATCATTCCAAAAAGTTCACACAGGCAGCTTGTGAGCGCGATTGGCCTGTAACTAGTAACGGATGATAGATCCTTGCCTTGCTTTAGAATGAGAATAATAATGACCTCTTTCCAAGCAGAGGGGATCTTGCCGGAACAGCAAATGGCATTATACAGAGACAGAAGGGCTGTTTGTGTGTCAGAGGGCAGGAGTTTTAGCATTTCATGAACTACTCAGTCGGAGCCTGGGGCGGAATCATTGCAGCAGTTTAGCGATGCCTGTAACTCAGCTAAGATGAAAGGTTCATTGTATGGTTCGTGTTTTGTGGATTTGTGTTCGAGTTTCTGTTTTTCAATTGTTAGTTTGTATCGCTGGAACGATGTGGCATAGTGCGACGAGCTGGAGGCCTGTTTGAAGTGCACCCCAAAAGAGTTCGCCTGGTCCTCCAAGCTGTTGCCTTGTGTGTTCACAAGAGGAAGTGGATAAGATTGCTGTCCTAGTACGTTACCTACCATGTTCCAGACTCTCACCTCCTGTGTATATGAATTGATTCCAGATAAAAAACTTATGCCAACTCTCCCTTCTTACCTGTCTGCACGTTAATCTGCCTTGAGACTTTATGTTCTTAAAGTTTTCAAGGTTTTCAGCGGTTAGTGAGTTCCGAAGCAACCTCCCATGAGTTATTTTGCTTTTTTTCGAGCATTCCGACAATCACTGTTCCACCAAGAGAAACGTCATTTGGTGGAGAGTCCAGTTTGTAGGATACAATTTGTGGCAGCGTGAATAAGAAGAGCTGTTAAGTACTCCACAGCTGCATCTCACGCATACCAGACCAACTTATGTGAGCAGTCAATTCGCCACGGGTTGCAAATCCCACACTTTTGCAGCCAACAGTACATAAAGGAATAAAAAGTGTGCAGCAAGTATGAGGTTAAAAAAGGCTACATCAAAATGAAGAGTTTAGCCAATAGGTCAACTGGAAGTCCAACAAATTGGCAGAGGCGCAGGACATGAAATAAAGCCCTCTTATGCGTACAATAACAGTATGCATGCCAGTGCTATTGCATGGCCATTCTGTGAAATGAAACTAGAAGTGCTATCTGTAGCTCAATGCATATGATCTTGATAATGCAACACACACATTCAAAAGGCTGACTGCTGAACACGCACAAAAACATCTACTGCATACTTACAGCAATCTGTATTTCACGTTTGCAGACATTCAGGCCTTGTTCCTCATTGACAAACATACGCTTTAGTGCGTATCGCACATTGTTAGATCCTTTCACCAGAAAGACTATGGCGAAGCCACCTGAAATGAAATAAAAAAACAAAGAATTCACATCAGCCTAGGCTACACCAAACTCCAAAATTGTTGACACAACACTCGTTCAGTCTATAAAAGCATTCAGTAGCAATGCAGCATGTGCCCATTACTTGCCACATGAACACTGTTGGCCCGGGCCAAATGTCACAAGGCATGCCAACTTTCACAAAACACTTACAGGCTTGCAACTTGCCCATCTTTAGCTGAATACAACTCGTAGCATCAAGAAACAGCTACAGAGCTCAAGGAAAGAAGCCCATCAATTTAGGGCTAAGTAATCAAAGTACTTTCGTATCAACAGTCTTTACTAAATGTCACATCAGTGTAATATTGGCTCATGACGTCCCGGGAATCTGAGTCAAACTCACCTTTACTGGCCAGACACAAAGCTATATGATGGGGTTATCTCAAGCAACTGCACATACCAGTTGCTACACAGTTTTGATGCCACGTAATTCCATAAGAACTATACTTCATCTAAAGGAGCCAAGGCTTTCAGCATCTAGAGAACTCCTAGTTAGAAAACTTTTATTACCTTTTAAAATTAACAGTCATCGTGACAGAGAAATCTCACTAGGCTCTGATAAATTCAATTCCCTGGTAGCTCATAGTAATTCCAAATTTAATTTTAGTGCTCAGATCCATGCCTGTAGAAAAGCAGCATACCATTTCTAAAACAAAACCTTTCTGCCGTTTTCTACATATGCTCATTTCTTTATATTTTATTTAACATTGATTGATTTGTGGGGTTTAACGTCCCAAAACCACTATTTGATTATGAGAGACGCCGTAGTGGAGGGCTCCGGAAATTTTGACCACCTGGGGTTCTTTAACGTGCACCCAAATCTGAGTACAGGGGCCTACAACATTTCCGCCTCCATCGGAAATGCAGTATTTTATTTAACAGTCAGCATGTTAAGATAACATAATGAAATATGTTAATTATAGAAAAAAGCAATAGAACTTAAAAATAAACATACACCGGTAGGTCATGAATGATACAGGAACTACAAGACACTTGGCAAAAGACCGTTAATAATTGTAGAAATGACTTGAGCAGTTTAAGTAATGAAATTTTTTTTCAAATATATGCTCACACCATAACATCAATATTAAGATGGACGAATACAGTGTCAAAGATGAAGGCACTACAGATTCAGGTGGCTGTACTAGAACTGAAGAAGGCTTTGCCACAAATTTCAGTAATGGAATGCAGGGAGCCAAGACAAATAAATGCAGACAAAGCAAATTATTAGCAAGCATTGCCCACTAACATTTCATCCTGCCTCAGAATCAGATGAGAAAGATAACAGGCTGATAAAAATTCATCAGCCATTCTACTATGTAAAGGTGCATTGACCAGCGAAGCTGCATAGCACATGCCACACAGATGACACAAAATTTTGATGAAAAGTACGAAAATGCACAGAATTTTCATGAAAGGTGCAGGAAGTTCCTTTTGAATTTCACAGCATATGTCTTATTGACGCATTCTCCATTTCGCGACATTTCAGTCGACCAATAGTGAATGGTTTGCCCAATTTGTGTGGCACATACGTTATTGCCACCAACAACATTTTCACAATTTTAATGGACTAGTGGTGGCTAGAGAGGTTTCCCTATTTCTGAAGCATAAATTTGAATTAGGGCCTTTCAATTTACATGGCTGCTGCTCACAAAGTTACTGTTTGTCGGGTTGCGGCTTGCCCAGTTATGTACAGCTTCACCGTAATAGTGAGTATAACTAAATAGTAAGGAGTTCAGAAACTGTTGCACAATTAAAAAACACTGAAGAAAAGTACAATTTTTTTATATAATACTCGCTCGAATAAACGTCATCACACAGTAAATTACCCTTTCACAATTCCAAGTAACAATAAAATCTAAGGTTTTACATCCCAAAACCACAATATAATTAGGAAGGACGCCGTAATGTGGGCTCCATAAATTTGACCATGTTAACATGCGCTCACATCGAAGTGCATGGGCCTCTAGCATTCCACCTCCATTGAAATGCAAGCACAATGGCCAAGATTGAACCCACAACCTTCGGGTCAGCTGCCAAGCACTGCAACCGCTACACCACCACGGCGGACTTGACAATGCCAAAAGCGCCACTCTTGCCATGAGAAAACACATGCTAAGTGAAAGAAAAACAATGCTATTTTGAGGCTCCCGCATGAACTCGCCACGACGTTAGATTTTGACGGCATCAGCTAGGGCCCACACAATTGACAATTGGGTGTTCTAGGAAAGCTAGAGAAATGACATGGCAAGTTTTAGGTGTTTCATTAATCCAGCGTGGCCAAATTGGAAAAAAAAAAGAAAAAATACGGAAACCATGGCGTCACGCTCACACAGGTAATGATGTTGAAGTGTGACATTCTGAAAGGAACTGCAAACTTTCTCTTCTAATAGTAAACCTATGATGGGAGAAATAATTTATATAGTACTCAAGGAATAACTTATCAATCCAAATATACTTTTTCAATTGATAGCCCCAACAAGTCAGTCCCACCAAAATAACTTAAGCAGCACTGTACACATCCCTGGTTCTCTATATAAAAAGCTGCAGACATGTTGCAGCCTTCACAAGCACTAACTGAAGGCATCCTCTCACTTTTGCCACTGCTTTCTTTTTCAAACTAGCAAATAGAGCTGGTGGAAGTACGCAAGTAACGCTTCTCGCCAAAGGCCCGAGATGAGGGAGTAGTGAACATTAACAAATTAGCGCCACTGAGCACAGCTTCTTTCCGAGTAATCGGACAATAAAATATCAACACAACAGCTGCAAACAGGGCAGCTCATAGGCATCTAAAAAAATTGAACATCTTTTGAATAGCGTCTGATGTTAAATCTCCTCTTATCCTAGTGCAGTGGGTATGCGGCAATGGAGGCTCTGCGAAGAAGTGCCACCACCGTTGTCCTGTATAATAAAAGACCCCACCACACACAATACCTAAACGTAATGTTGGATCATAAACACACATTTAAGTCTGTAGTTTAGTTACGTGACCCCGAAACAATATTTGGGCAGTACACCGTAATGGCAGACTAATTTTTACTTTAACATACATACAAATTTTATAAGTATTCGGATGTCCTTGCATTTTGCCCTTTTCAAAATTCAGCTGCTGTGGCCAGCAATCAATTATTGTATTCAATTGATTTTTCCAGCCCTTCTCTCATGTAATGCTATTATAATCAGTAAGGTTAATGTGAGTGTTTCGACGAATTAGTGGTTCATTGACAAGAAAATTAACAGCACAAGGAAAAAAACATAAACCAGTGTTTTTCTCCATGTCAACTCTTTTTTCGTAAACCTGTATTTTTCTTACACACTATTGAAATTTTTTTCACAATCAGCAAGATGCCAGATGCGTGCTTCAGTTGTTAACCACTCAACCATTTTGATGCAAGGAGCCACCTTTCTAATATAACTTTACTATAGTAATTTTCTTTTGTAGTAGTAGTACATAATGCAAGAGAAAACATCCAAAGAGCACAGTTTCCTTAGAATTCTTCCTTACTTCCTCCTCTTTCACTAGAATAGACAACAAAACCTTCTACTTTCTAAAATTTGCAAATGCATTTTTTTTCACCTAATTATCAACCTGACAATTCTGTTAAGCAACTATCATTGGCATCTCATTTGGAGGCTACTGCCTAACAACCTCTGCAGATAAAATCACTGTTACTCAAAAAAATACTGGGCCACTCACAATATGGAATGTTTAATGCAGTTAGTTTTAGTGCTTTATCACAAATCAAACATTATCACGAATGTATTACCAGCAGTTTCACATACACAAATAAAAAGACCTTCAAACACAATAAGGCTTTGAAGTACTTCATTGACACAACTATCACACTATAATTTCAAAGGAGTAATACTTCAAGCAGGACAAAGACAAGCCCTATAAAAAATAGCTGTAGCTTCTAAGCGCACCAAAGGCTGCATTGATTGATATGTGGGGTTTAACATCCCAAAACCACCCTATGATTATGAGAGACGCCGTAGTGGAGGGCTCCGGAAATTTCGACCACCTGGGGTGCTTTAACGTGCACCCAAATCTGAGCACACGGGCACCGAGGTCTGCAACCAGGGTCTTTACTAGGGGGAATTGAGGGGGTTATGACACCCTCAAAATTTTTTCATGCTTTAATTTTCGGATAATACAAAAGTATTTACACGTCTTCATATGGACCACCAGTTGCCAAAGTTAGCCGCTATGCACTAACACCCTCCGAAAAAAAATTCCTGGGTGCGGTCCTGGCTGTGCACAAAGTGTGCACAGGTGTGGCTGGCAACGTTATGCCGACGATATAGAAGTCGATTTTCGAAGTAATATTGTATGCGATAAGAATCGCAGCACCGAGATTTTTTCTGTGGATTAAAGTCAAAACACCAATACGAAAACTCGGAGGCCAGTCACTTGAGCACTGCGACAAACGAGCCTGCCTTTGGTCTTTTTGCATTTCATTTCCTCACGGAGTAGGATGGGGGGCGGGGGGAATCAACTTTCTATGCACCATTCGTTGACCCCATTTTCGCTGTGTACGCGCGGTCTCATTGTGATACAACGTATCCTCAATGGAATCCCAGGCTCACGTCTGGGACCAGCGCGGCTAGTAACTTCTTTTGATTCCTCAATCGGCCACAAACAATCGCAGCAGCGTACACATGCACGTGTGACCAAACTCAGAAAAGGCGTTGCATCACATATCTATCGTTACCAGCGGCAACACCGCATAGTAAGCTACTGACGGTACCGTACGGAATTGATGAGCGTGAGGGTGTAGGGCGGCGTCGTACGCAGCCGATTTCGTGCACAAAGTAGTTTCGTTCGAACAAGACAATTTTGCGAGTTGTGTTTTCCGCATCGATGCGCGCTGGGGCTGAAGTTGCAGCAACCTGCGAGGTGTGACAGCAACGACGTCCAATCGATCAGCAGAAGTTAACGTTTCTCCCAAACTGACACCTGTCAGGGGAAGCACACGCTTTCTTTCCCGTTCAGATCCGTTCCGCATTCGCACCTCCGCGTCGCAATGACTTTCCCATTTTTTACTTGCCGGGCACAAAACAGATGTTTAAACAAACGTCTGCTCCAGCCCAGGACTGACCCACTATTGAGCGGCAAGGAAATGGCAGTGGGCGTAGAAGAATAATCGTGACTCACCTTCGGCAATCACGTCTTCTACTGTGACGGTGTGCCTTCCCACGGTGAAAACTTTTCCGACAAAGTTGTTGGCTTCCCTAGCTGCGCCCTGGTCAATCCTCTCGAATCGCGAGAAGAGCTTCTTCATTTCGAAATCAAGCAGACGCGACGAACGGCGCCGAGACTTGCCTCGATTTTCTAAAACATAAGCCTCTTGTCACTGTGCACGCGAGGAAAAATACCGCTACAAGGTCCGCGGGCTGGTATAGCTGGTATAGCTGCGTGAGCAGCTCACACTGAGGCCGCAATGCTCCAGATAAGGCATCTCAGGAGCGCATGATACAGCTGGGGGCGTCGCGACACGCGACGTAGCAGCGCCGGCCCTTTACCTGACATTCGGTCACGTTCTCGACGCAGGCGACCATTCGGTTCTCGAGGAAACCGACGCAGCGGTGCCTGCGGCCAAGTGTCGCTGTCGCTCTAAGCCTAAGTCCCCGCAAAACCAGCCCGCGTCAGCGGCCTGCTGCCCCCTGCCAATCTCCAGTTACGTCTCTGTTCGACACGGCGGCGGCACGCTCCGCCGGATCATGTCTCATGGTTACGAGCGGCACCGAGATTTCAAACGCACTGCGGTTAATATTGTGTGGCGTCGCGGAGCGCAATGTGATGTTCTACGGCCTCGGAATAGCTTGTTTATGTTCGTAATTCAAGCAGAAATAGTAATCATGGCGGCTCCAATCGCCGGGAGAGGAAGCTGCACTATGACGTACTTCCTGCGCGGGGTTATAAAGTTGCGGGAAATATAACGGAATATATGCCGACAATGTTGCTGGGGATGATGTGTTTGTAGTACACTAGCTTCAGAGAAAATGCACAGCCTAGGATCTGGTGGCACACACCCATTCTTCGACATTCGTCGCACGCATGCTCTACACGATTTTTTTTTCGGCAGCTACTGCACACAGGTCGTTTCTCCCAATGCGTTTGTGGTGCAGGAAGCACCACTGGAGATTACCTGCAAGAGGACGGGCTACGAGCATGTGGCTGGTTAATATGCTTACTGGCTTACAGATTCTTCACGAGGCCCAAAAGTCGTAAGGTCATATCACCATCAACGATCGAAATATACGCGCGTTTTATGCTCTTTTGATAGACCGCTAACGGGAACATCAATCTAATTCAGAGCATGATCTTGATTTGATTGATGTGTGGGGTTTAGCGTTCCAAAACTACCATATGTATATGAGAGACGCCTAGTGGAGGGCTCCAGAAATTTTGACCACCTGGGGTTCTTTAACATGCACCCAAATCTAGAGCATGGTTTAAGGGCAGTTAAATACTTCGATGCTGACGCTTGGCTCAGAATTTGTGCTAAGCAGACCATTTCCTTCCACTTTATACATTATTTAGTGTTTAAATTGTGAACATTCTGTCCAGTTCGTGAAGTTCCCGTCCAGGCAGTTCATATCTCTTCGAGCAATTTACCAAACTACATTAAATATACTTTCTGTGACAACTCAGGAAAACAAGAACCACTTGTGTGTATTTATACATACATTCTTCTGAGAGGCACAGCAATTCTTTACGTGGTTTTTGTCACCAAGTGGTGTATGTTAGGGTCAATACAAAACAAACCATTCCATGATTTTTGCACCTGTCAGATGGCACTAGTCGCACCTCCATGTACAGAAAATTAGCATTTCCTAGTGTTTTGTATGCTTAACCTTTCTCTGCTGTCCAGAGATTAATACCAATGTCACATGTGCACTTTTGATCGTGACAGGTTCAGTCCAAAGGGAATTGATTGCTACTAGCTCAGTCAAAACTAGTCAGGATAGAGTATGGTGCAGATATAAACCAAATCGCAATCTGGGAGCCAAATTGCGATCAGCGTGATTCTGATTAAAAAGACTCAGATTGAGCCTAATACAAATTGGCCCAAGTCACAATTGAAACAGCCGGTGTGACAGATGCAAAGATTAAACCTGTTAAGAGTTGCCGTGTTCAGGCTGTGTCCTAGATTTTAACTTCACATAATTCTGCAGTAGTTTTCATGGTTGCTTTACGCTCTCTCATGCCACAACACCATCACTGAATTTGTTTCAAAAGCTGGCAACAAGAATACGAATTAGCAAGATGATTCACTTTCGTACTGTTCTGCATACTTTTTGACATCGTATACACACATGCTAGATAATTTGAAAAGTGTTCAAAATAATATGATACATGTGTGTGTGTTTGTGTGTGTGTCCCACTTATCAAGCACAATCTTTACACTAAGTGGCAGCCTTCAATGTGGACGAAATGGCGTCTCTCACAATCATATGGTGGTTTTGGAACGCCACATATCAATCAATCAATGTGGATGAAATTGTATTCATGTTAGCACCAACTTGTAGAATTGTCCCACATATTTTACATCCTGTCTAACTGTTGATGTAATTAGGTGTTATGCAATATAACTGCACACTGTAATTATTGACAACTATTAATGTATGCAAAAGAGTTAAATAACAACTGCAATATATGCAGTTGTTAGTTTCGGCGCTATTCGCATCTGCCTCTTTCTTGTGCCCATGCTTTTGCAGGCTTTCTTCAAGTAAACTGTAATATGTCCTGCAGGGTTATTTCTGTCACACATTTTCTGCTCCTTTGAAAGATTCATGACAGGGGTGCATGCTTATACCACTTGATTGTGTGCCTGTATCATGCGATTACAGCACCCTCTAACATGCTCAGTCGTAAAATAAGCATCTTGGCTATGTGCATCACACTGCCTGGGTTGTCACATATGAGCTGGCTTTCAGTAAACGGGTGCATGATCACATATATAACTATAGCAGGCAAGCAGGAATGTGCAGAAGGCTCCTTAAGTTATTAACTTAGTTTTATGGCACTTTATATCACTTTACAGCAGCATGTTTGCACGTACATGCCATTATTTCCTTTTGATCAAAGCACATAACCTTCTTAACAATCAATGCAAATGTGGAGCCCTGTGCAGGGTAACGCACTAGAGGCAAGATGCTCAGTTCCTCGGCGATCTCCCTAAACAGAGGTACCATCATGGTCTGTGGTCGTGTTGTCACAAAGTATATTTCTATATTTCATGGCCTTCCATAACCATGACAAAAAAAGGAGATGTCTGAAACATAGCAATTCACAGACAATTGAAATAGGTCTTTTTGAAGTCGCTATAACTTATGCTATTTACTTAAAACCCATATAAATACAGCAGTTACAAAGTTAATAAATCAATTATTACAAATCAATTAGAAAAGAAAAATATTAAAAACAGACTCTTTCTAATGTTGCTGCTAATAAGAAGCAGTTGGCTTCATCCCTTTAAAAGGATATATATATTATATGGGAAAGAAGTGTATACCCAAAGGCCCGTTTTTCCGTGTTATGACACAATATTAATGAGATCTTCTAACAGTCACTATATATGTGTATATATATATATTTAAGCTCTGAGATTCACAGTTGAAACAACCTACATATAGTTGTGAGGTAAGTATTCCTGGCAGCCTTATTGTAATATCTGAGTAGCACCTGTAAAAATCTGGACTTTAAGGGAGATGGACGCGCTTCCCTGTAGATATATAGGATTTTATGCTGATTTCAAATATGTAATTAGTATTATAGTAAGTTATGCAGTTTTAGTTTTATGCCATGACAATGTGTAATGTATAGTTGGCTTTGGACAAAATTTTTATGCCAATAAACATCTATGGTTCTCAGCCATTAATGGTTCATATCGCTCTACATTAACTGTAGAATGTAAATAACCATCAAGAAAGTGCATATAAGACATTTTAATGGACAAGAAAAATTGTAATATCAAAATGCTTAGAATTCTCAGCCCATACTAATTGTTCATTCTATATTAGCAATAGTTTAACAGGCGATATCAAATTTTAAAGAAAATGCCTGCACCCTTCCCATGTTAAGAAATACGTGCGCAAAGTTTCATCCTAATTGAGTTATCACAAATGCCAAAAAGATGATGTCTAAACTCAAGAAGTTGCCCAAAAATGGATTTTGACAAAGAGGCACTCTAAAGGTATAAGTGAAAGGTCATCTATGCAGAAAAGTTACATTTCTTAAGATCATTTCTTGCATCATCATAGCTTGGCAATCATGGTTATTTTGAGCATGTGGTTTTAGTGAACTTCTCATGTGAAGTGCAATAGCAAGTAACCAGGGCCATTTACAGGGTACCTCAGAAAACGAGGTCCATTTAATTTTTAGTAGCCTCCTTGAGCTCTTTAAAAATGTTTTTAACTTAATGTTTAATTGCAATAATCAGATTTTTTGTCATGATAGTAGACAAAGTATACTTGTCAAAGCAAAGAAAAACCTAAAATATGTAATTTTGAAAAAAGTTGTGTTTTTCGACTCGCATCTCTCCTCAATTTTGAAATTTAAACCTAGCCAAAATGTTGAAATTATTTTGCTGAATATTTACACATGCATGCACACAAACACAGGGTGTATGTATCCTAAATGTTTGTATCCTAAACACACACAATGTATCCTAAATGTTTATAAAATGCCCGGTATTTGTGCGCATTTAGCGGAATCCCATTATTTATAGTGGCATGCGCTTTAAAACTCTTGTCCTATCAATGACAAGGTAATGCTTTGTACTGCTCCCAGTAAAGACGAGCTGGGTTCATTCGCACTGAAAGAAGCGCTTGGCGACCAAGCAGTTAAGATCCTCTTATTCATTTTGCCAAGTTTTCTTCGGCTTGAGCACATGGCATAGTAAAAAAACATTTCAAGTGAACTAAAACAAGCATTTTGGTCAAGAGAGGACATGATTCTCGTAACGAGAATCAGAAAATGGTGTCCTCCTCTATGCACAAAGGACGCTGGTGTGTTGGCAACTGCTCTGTTCAGAAAAAAAAAATAACAAAAATCTACTTGTTAGCCAAGTTCTGTGAAATAAAGAAGAATTTCAGTTCCCGTGAAAGTGTGGCAGTGATTACACAGAGTAGCATAGTTTCTCTAAATTATAAGATTCGAACGACAGCATCTTGTGTATCAGCAGTGGACATCGTTAAATGTAAGCAAACCTTCACTGGCGTGTCCAAGTTTTGCTTTCAAGAATGCACTTGTCTCTGCACTTAATTTTTTTAATTTCAAGGATACGTTTTCTGCACCAAAGACTAAAAACGTTCGGGCATTTTACATTGTGCAGTGCAGTGAAGCCAATCCTCTGCATATTTTCACAAAAAATTATTTTGAACGTATCTTCCAAATAAGACAGCTTTGAGTAATTTTTTGAGTTGTTCCAAGGCACATAAACATCAAACAGGCAAATATAAAAAAATGGCGTTGTTGCTTTGTTTTCTCATGTTTACTTCATGCTTTTTTTTTTCTTGCAATGTGTTGCTGGAGGCCTGTTAGTCATAACACGACATATCGCCAGCTGTAGTGTACTAGAGATAATTATTTATAGGCTCCTCATTACCGACCAGTCTCAGTTTCAGTTCGAGAAAGCTCCAAAAACGACAAGCCGCTGAGTGCAACTACCACCACCTAGGGGGTGCAGCTTTCGACCATGTCAGCTCACAGAGCTGTCATGAACTTCCACCAGGTCCGTATCAAAAAGTTCTTTCGAACAAAAAATAGGACAGCATTGATTGATTGATTGATTGATTGATTGATATGTGGGGTTTAACGTCCCAAAACCACCATCTGATTATGAGAGACGCCGT